TATGGGGCCACGAAACAGTGCACTGGGTGGTGGATGACGCATGCGGGCGGTCCCACTGGGGCCGTTGGTAGAGGTCCCCATGGGGTCACGAAACGCTGTACTGGGTGGTGGATGACGCATACAGGCGGTCCCGCTGGAGCCTTCCTTCGGTGGAGCTCCCTATGGGGCCACGAAGCGCTGTGTTGGGTGGTGCGTGAAGCATGTGGGCGGTCCCGCTGAGGCCTTCGGTGGAGCCGCCTATGGGGCCCGAAACGCTGTACTGGATGGTGGATGACGCACGCGGGCGGTCCCACTGGGGCCTTCGGTGAAGCCCTGTATGGGGTCACGAAACGCTGTAGTGGGTGGTGGATGGCGCATGCGGACGGTCCCACTGAAGCCTTCGGTGGAGCTCCCTATGGAGCCACGAAGTTCTGTGCTGGGTGGTGGATGACGCATGCGGGCGGTCCCACTGGGGCCTTCCGTGGAGCCCCCTATGGGGCCACGAAGCGCTGCGCTGGGTGGAGGATGACGCATGCGGGCGGTCCCACTGGGGCCTTCCGTGGAGCCCCATATGGGGCCACGAGACGCTATACTGGGTGGTGGATGACGCATGCGGGCGGTCCCACTGGAGCCTTCGGTGGAGCTCTCGACGGGGCCACGAAATGCTGTGCTGGATGGTGGATGACGCACGCGGGCGGTCCCAGTGGAGCCTTCGGTGAAGCTCCCTTGTGGGGCTACGAAGCGCTGTACTAGGTGGGTGAAACGCATGGAGGAGGGAGGAGGAGGGAGGAGGAAGGAAAGAAGGAAGCAAGGAGAACGCGGGGACCGTCTCTTCAAAACGAAGACCCAACACCACAGGATGGTTGGGAATTAATTAAAACCCAAGCGAATTCAAACTGGACGAAATTAAACAGGATGCAAGTAAACGGGCGAAATTAAACTGATGAAATTAACCAGATGAAACTAAACGGACGAAGCTAAACGGATGATATTAAATTCGGATGAAACAAAGGTGAATCCTCTGGAGGACCCTATGGGACGCTATTCTGGACCTCTTGGGCCCTCGTGGCCCGTCTTGGTGCCCTCTCCGGGGCTGCTCGGGCCGTCCTGGAGCACTCCCATGCCCTCATGAACTCATGTTGAATCGAAACCACACCAATCTAAAACTGTTGCAAAACAGTGAAATGTTTGACGATTTAGCCTGTCCAGGACCCTCTTAAACAGCCTTGGCGGCCTCTTAAGCCGTCGTGGATGCCCCTTAAACCCAATGCGCGAATCACTTTGGTTGGGGACCCCACCCGCCCTGATTCTTCGATCCCAGCGATTTTTTGGCACGCGTTTCTGCGCAACTTAGAGCCTGCACCATCGCCTGGCCCTGCAGGGACAGGCCCCGTGCCCCACCCCACCCCGCCAGGCCTCCCAAGCCCCCAGGCCACGGCGCGTCCCCTCCCCCCCCCCCCCACCCGCCGCGCCCTCGCAAGTGCCCCCATGCCCCCCCCCCAAAGCCAGAAGGACGAGAAGAGCAGAAGACTGAGCTAAAAAAAGCGGCGTGGGTTAGCCCAGAACCAGCAAGCACGCGTACGGCTTGAAACGAATTCGCGAGAACCGAAACCACCCATTCCGATAGATGCACATATGCACGTGCACTGGCCCATCAAACGAACATTCACTTTTGCACATGGAAACGTCCAAAAAGGAATGCTGAACATACTTAAGATAATGAGTCTGGCGCAACTCGCCATCGCTCGGACGTCCGTTTCCCGTGCATGTGTCGGCTTCATGCGTGCATTTTCTCGCAAGATGGCCCAACACACTCCTCGATGTTCCTCGCCGAGAAAAATGTTAAGACAACGCCCAAACCGCTGCAGCTGCATTCTGCGCGAGGCGTGGCCCTATCCTCGTATACTGCGCGCCGCGGGAGGGATGATTTTCGGGGCAAGACAGGTCGGGAGCTGCGGAGCAAGCGAACAGAAGTCCCTATGGGGTACGATCCGAGTGAGGGGTATGCCGAATTGGACATGTGTCTGCACGTAGAATCACCAATGGAGCCGCCGGTGGAGCTCCATATGTGGGCACGATCCGCGCGTGGGGTGTGCAACATTGGGCGTAAGACCGCATGCGGAAGTCACTACTGGGGCCGTGGTCGAGCGGGCGGCAACAGCAGCAGGAGGAAGGGGAGCAGAGAAGGGGGCAACACAAGATAACTGCGAGGGGGTAGGGGAGAATGGAGGGGTGAGGAGAAGGAGGAGGATGTGGGACGCGCGGCGCAGCGGAGAGAAAACGAGTAAACAGCACTGTGATGTTGGGTCCACCTCCCGTCTTCCCCGTCTGTCATCACCCCTCCTGTCAGAAGGGTGGTGAATTAGCCTGGCGTAGGACCCAACCCTATGTAGTTGTGAATGCCGAAATCATGGGTATCGTATTCGGTGGAGCTCCCTATGGGGCCACGAAGCGCTGCACTGGGTGGGGGCGAAGTTTGCCTCTTGGGCCTTCGGTGGAGCTCCCTATGAATCACAAAACGCTGCACTAGGTGGGGGAGACGCATGCGGAATTTGCCACTGGAGCCTCCGGCTGAGTACCTTAAGGGCCACGAAACGTTGTGCTGGGTGGTGCGTGACGCATGCGGACTTTGCCACTGGGGCCTTCGGTGGAGCTCCCCATGGGCCACGAAACGCTGTACTGGGTGGGGGAGACGCACGCGGACCTTGCCACTGGGGCCGTCGGTGGAGCTCCCTATGGGCCACGAAACGTTGTGTTGGGTGGGGGAAACGCATGCGGACTTTGTCAGTGGGGCCTTCGCTGCAGCTCTTTATGGGGCCACGGATCGGTGGGGCTCCCTATGGGGCCACCACGAGGCGCTGTACTGGGTGTGCGGGACGCATGTGGGTGGTTCCACTAGGACCTTCGATGGGACCCCCCATGGGACCACGAAACGCTGTACTGGGTGGGGGCGACGCATGTGGGTGGTCCCACTGGGACCTTCGGTGGCACTCCCTATGGGGCCACGAAACGTTGCTCTGGGTGGGGGCGACGCATGTGGGTGGTCCCAGTGGGACTTTTGGTGGGGCTCCTTATGGGGCCACGAAGCGCTGTACTCGTTGGTGCGTGACGCATGCGGACGGTCCCGCTGGGGCCTTCGGTGGGTCTCCCCATGGGGCCACGAAGCGCTGTACCGGGTGTGCGGGACGCATGCGGGCGGTGCCACTGGGGCCGTCTGTGGAGCTCCCTATGGGCCACGAAGCGATGTGCTGGGTGGTGCGTGACGCATCCGGGCGGTGTCACGTGCACCTTCGGTGGAGCTCCAGATAGAGCCGCGAAACGCTGTACTGGGTGGTGCGTGACGCATGCGGGCGGTCACACTGGGGCCGTCGGTGGAACTCCCTATGGGGCCACGAAGCGCTGTACTCGTTGGTGCGTGACGCATGCGGGCGGTCCCATTGGGGCCTTCGGTGGAGCTCCCTATGGGGTCACGAAGCGCTGTGCTGGGTGGTGCGTGACGCATGCGGGCGGTCCCACTGGGACCTTCGGTGGCCCTCCTTATAAGGCCACGAAGCGCTGTATTGGGTGTGCGGGACGCATGCGGGCGGTGCCACTGGGGCCGGCTGTGGAGCGGCCACGAAGCGCTGTGCTGGGTGGTGCGTGACGCATGCGGGCGGTGCCACTGGGGCCGTCTGTGGAGCGGCCACGAAGCGCTGTGCTGGGTGGTGCGTGACGCATCCGGGCGGTGCCACTGGCGCCTTCGGTGGAGCTCCCTATGGGGCCACGAAGCGCTGTACTTGGTGGTGCGTGACGCATGCGGGCGGTCCCACTGGGACCTTCGGTGGCCCTCCTTATAAGGCCACGAAACACTGTGCTGGGTGGTGCGTGACGCATCCGGGCGTGCCACTGGCGCCGTCTGTGGAGCTCCCTATGGGGCCACGAAGCGCTGTACTTGGTGGTGCGTGACGCATGCGGGCGGTCCCACTGGGACCTTCGGTGGAGCTCCAGATAGAGCCACGAAACGCTGTACTCGTTGGTGCGTGACGAATGACGGCGGTCACACTGGGGCCGTCTGTGGAGCTCCCTATGGGGCCACGAAGCGCTGTACTTGGTGGTGCGTGACGCATGCGGGCGGCCCCAGTGGGATCTACGGTGGAGCTCCGTATAGGGCCACGAAACGCTCTACTGGGTGGTGCGTGACGCATGCGGGCGGTCCCACTGGGGCCGTCGGTGGAGCTCCAGATAGGGCCGCAAAACGCTCTTCTGGGTGGTGCGTGACGCATGCGGGCGGTCCCATTGGGGCTGTCGGTGGAGCTCCCGATGGGGACACGAAACGCTGTACTCGTTTGTGCGTGACGCATGCGGGCGGTCCCACTGGGACCTTCGGTTGAGCTCCCTATGGGGCCACGAAACGCTGTACTGGGTGGTGCGTGAAGCATGCGGGCGGTCCCATTGGGGCCTTCGCTGGAGCTCCCTATGGGGCCACGAAGCGCTGCACTTGGTGGTGAGTGACGCATGCGGGCGGTCCCACTGGGGCCTTCGGTGGAGCTCCCTATGGGGCCACGAAGCGCTGTGCTGGGTGGTGCGTGACGCATGCGGGCGGTCCCATTGGGGTCTTCGGGTGGAGCTCCCGATGGGGCCACGAAGCGTGTGAGGGCTGTGCTTAAATGGGTGATGCTGATGATGATGATGATGATGATGATGATGATGATGATGATGATGATGATGATGATGATGATGATGATGATGATGATGATGATGGTGATGATGATGATGATGATGACGATGATGATGGTGGGAGGAGCGGGGAGGCAGGAGGGGGAGGAGGAGGAGGGGAGAGGAACGCGGGGCATCGCCTCTTCAAAACGAGGACCCAACACCACAGGATGGTTGGGAAAAACATGAGGAGGAGGAGGAAGAGGAGGGGATGATGATGAGACGGTGGCGGGCGCACGGCGCAACTGATTCTAAACCAGGACCCAGCTCCACGGGAGGGGGCGGGAGCGAGTGTCTGAACGGATCGCGCGTGCGTTTGTCGGCTCCTGTTTGGCATGCTCTGCGAGGCGCGCCCACGCTGCAAACGACTGGCATGGGGCAGTCGCGCGCTCGCGTGGGGCGCACAGCAAAAGCGCGGGCACTCTGACAGCCGCAGCGGCGGCTTGAGCCAGACCAGCAGTGGACTGTCTGCACACACCTTCGGGGCTCCGGGGGCGTCCAACAGGGGGGCGTCCAAGAGGGGGGGAGATGGGCGCAAATTATGGCCGAAGGCATGTGTGCGGCCCAAACGGGGACCAAGGGATGAATTGAAATAAGAAGAGGGCCCGTGAAATCCAGGGAGATATCATGGCCATTGCCATGATATCCATCGCCACTAGTCATCATCCCCATTTAGCCGCCCCCTGAAGCTGGTCAAGGAGAGTAGCGAAGTCATTCCAGCCCTTCGCTGCAGTGCCCGTGCGCCCCAGTGGGTCCAGGCAAGGGCTCAACCTCTATACTTCTTATTAAGACAAGAGTTTCCAACGGAATCGAGATCGCCTGCAAGGCGCTCTCGATCAAAGCAAAGCGATGCCCTTTCTCGCGAAACGACCTACCCACGATCCGTGTGCGAAAGTTTCGCTTTCATATTATCGTTGTGGTTTGTTTGAAAGCATGGCATACCAGCAGAGGAGACACAGGGGGGAGGGCTCTCGTCGCTCGACATGTTGCAAGCATTGCGTGCATGATGCGAGCACCACGGCGGTCGAAAGAAACATCGCACTACTAATACGGGGCGCGATGGCGATGAGGGCAGAGCAACGGTTTCTCCACGTGCGTTGAAGATCAACACTAGTACTCGACGAACACCACCGTGGGCCCTCGTTGGGAACTGATGTGTGCATGCGACAAGATCTAGCTAGCGCGTATGGGGTGCGCGCGTACACCTGTTATGATTTTCGCGCGCCCACACCGTACTGAGTGCAACCCACGGCCACTGAGTGTAAAGCGGCGCAGGACGCTGTGCCTGTCATGGAATATGGCTGCTGCGCGCGACGGAGACACTCTTAAAGTAAGATTAACCAAGCAATCAGGTCGAATTGTTCACGACGTATGAACCCAAAGCTGCGCCCGTGTTGCCTCGGCCACAGGCCTCGACAGAGAACGTGTGTCAAGGCTGCTGCATCTCCTGCGATTGCGCTGCTGTTGCTCCTCCTCTCCTAAAGGTTCTGGCTCGCCGCATCATAGGGGTCGCGGTGTCGTGGCAAGGAGGTGTCCTGGCATTGTGACACCGTGGTGTCACCGTTTCGCAGCGTTGCTTGCTGTCCTAGTGATGCCCGCAATGCCAGGAGGTCGCTTTTCTCTCGATGCCGACCGTGATCTCACTATGTCATGACCTAAGATGTACAACTAGGCTCGCATGTTACATGCGAAACTGGTATGAACATGGCCAGTGGCGCGTAGGAACGAGCACGCACAACACACACACACACTCACACACTTATGTCATCGGGTGGAGGAGTGCGAATCACGCACTATTCCAAGTGGACCACATGCGAAGTGAGCAGTTGACTCATGTAAAGCAAGTGTGAAGCGGTTGCCCAGTCTGGCACGCATGCACGCCGGCACGATTGGCCATGCCTGACCTCCCTCCACTGCGGACGGAACGGTCGCAGCTGCCAGGCCAAGCCTCACCGCCCTCTGGCTGGTTGGTGTGGCAGGCCCTCGCACCCCCTTTCTCACGCGTGCGAGGTGCGTCCACCCCCAGACGCTCTTTCCACGTTGCCCGCTCCCCGATTTTGCCCTGCTCCTCTTCGTCCAACCCGTCCAACCCCTCCAGCAAATCACAACCCCGTCTCGTCCCCCCGATTGCACCACCTTTGGCGTGCATTCATCCGTTCACCCCCGCAAATGCACAAACGATCGAGAGAAGGCACCGCAGCCTGCGCGGAAGCTTACAGCACGCAGCACTCTTGCGACCGAAGCCGCTGCGCCCACCCCCACCGATGCGAATGGATATCACAGCGCACGTAGCGCCAACCGTTGCGCTAGATCGCGTATGTCGAGCGTCTAACGCGTACATGAACATGCACACGTGCAATCGGCGATCGGGCAACATATACCCCTGCACATGGCGGGCACCAAACTGGACATGCCCTCGCCCTGTGAAGAGCAAATAGCCGTGTATGCCCCACAACGTGCGAGGAAAAAACGCCGTGCAACACCGCCCAGCAGATTGGGCTGCGAACTGATAAAGCAACAGGAATATCATGTGCTGTTCGCCCATGAACCATACACGAATGCTGAAGACGGAGTGCGGGAGATTAAGACAGACATGAAGGTGTCAGATCGCACAGCTGCTTACGAAGGCGCGATCTTTTGACCTCATTAGCATCTCCTTCCTCCGCGTGTCCTCGCCAACGGAGAAGAGCCTTGGCCTCTCCTCTCCAGGCCCGGAGAAGCAGAGCCCCACGATGGGTCTCCTCCGCGCAGCCCCCTGTCCGCGCAGGACCAGAAAGGCATCGTCGTCCCCGCCGTCACCATCAGCGTCGCCATCACCATCGTCCTCAGGGAGGCCAGCGGGGGTGAGAAAGGAGAGCAGAAACATCACCGCAATCAGTGATATCGTCAATTCCGCCATCCGCGATGTCGTCACTGTTAGAGGCGTCGTCTCCATGGCCGCCACGATCAACCGCGATTCCCATCCAACCCGACCTTCCAACTGTTATCCCGTGTGCGCGTCCTCGACGCAAGATTTGAACAGTTAAGCGCTTGCAAGAGCAGGAGCAACGGACGGGGAACACGTGAAACGTCCGAAGTGCAAGCGAGGCGCGCCTGGACATGCCGAAACCCGGGGGGAGGGGCTCACGCATGGTGACTCAACATCAAAGGGGGGCGTGCCAGGCGCGGGTGGTCAGTGAAGCCAGACACCCAGCGCAGCACGGCACGGCGCGCGGGCACGGCATGGCACAGCACATCTCGTGGATCCTGGAGGCTGGGCACGGCACGGCACGGCACGCGGGCACCGCACAGCGAGGCACGAAGCTTCTGGCGTTCCAGAGCTCTTTGTGGCTCGGCACGGCACGGCAACTCACGCGGGCACGGCACAGCACGGAGGGCGGGTCGGCCAGGCGGACCCTTGCGGGCAAGGCTGGCGTGCGGACGTCAAAGCGGGCGGGCGGCGAAGTCCTAAGCGAGAGAGCGTCGGGGGTGGCCAGAGCGCAACCACTAAGTAACTTGCCAGAAAGTCTCAAGCGAGGGCGAGATCCCTGAGGAAACGATGTCTCAGGCGAGAGCGCTAGGCGTGAGTCGTTTGAAAGAAAACCCCAAGCGAGAACACGAATTCTGAAAGGTGAGAACCGGTTCCTCCGACATATTTGCGAACTGTGCGGAAGTCTCAGGTAGGAACCATTCTCGATACTATAGTAGGATGCTCAAAAACCCGATTCAAGCAGGAATGCCTTCCCTGGCAAAAACAACGTTCGACCTGTAGCCAGCGGCTCGGTCTCTTTCTGCAACCAGCCCGCTCCCTGATTATCCTTCCCTTTCGCCCCCTCTCGAACGTTCTTTGTGCATGTCCCATCCTCTCCACACTCCCTGCTCCTTCCCTCATGATCCCTCCTCTCTGGTGACAGAGAAACCTCTGGACTCCACATACGCTTCCAGGCATCCACTTCTGCTAAGCGTGACGCGTGAACTTCGAGCTCCGAAAACTGCCCCATTGAAATCGGACCCTCAAGGGAGCAAGTTCAAGTCACGATGACGCCAGCTTTAGTTTCTGACACCGCGTGGTATTTTCCACGCTGGACGATCGCGGCTCTACAATAAGGCAGATCGTTCAACCTTGAACGCACGCGCTGGGGTCGCCGCCGCGTCATCTCGACGCGAACCTACCACAGGCTCCCGCCGCCGGGCCACTCCCTCGGTATCCACGCTCCCTCTTGCGCTCCCCCGTTCCCTCGCCGCACGACGCACCCCAGCCGCTCCAGTGAGACTTGTGCTTCGCGGAGTACATCCACTCCTTGCGGGGCGGCCGAACTTGGAGAAAGGGGGTCGAAAAGGAGGCGGAGGACGAGGAGTAGGAGGACAGTACGGGAGAAGGAGGAAGAGGAAGAGGAAGAGCGCACGTAACTCATGAGGGCATGGTTCGGTTATCGAGTGGCGCTGATGGCCAGCTTCGTGGCACGCAGGAGCCTCAGAGGAAGAGGAAGAGGAGGAGGAGGACAGGCGTCACGAGGAAGACAGGACGGGGAGGAGGAGGAGGCCGAGTCTCACAATCCATGTCGTTTTGACTGCTCCGATCCTTGGCGTGGTTCTTGTCGTTGTGCCGGTGCGCGTAGCGGTACAGGCAGACACACCGGTCTGCGTGCGCGAGCGCCTCCCAGCGCCAGCGGGGAGCCGAAAGAGGCCACAGCCGAGCGGCGCTGCTTGGGGCCGCAGCACTCTGGGGCCACACCGGTGTCCCCCAAGAGCTGGAGAGCTGCCGAAGGCAGCAGCACCTATGAGCACGCCTTTCTCTTCTCTCATCTCATCCTGACAGCTGCTTTGTGTGCCAATCCCCCATCTGCTCTCGGCCCGCGCGACCGTCGGCGTTCGATGAGCCTTGACGAGACGATGCTCACGTGATCAGCTCCGGGCAGTTCCTGCACTCCCCAGGAACTTCGGCGCAGCCTCAAGTCATCGACCTGCGAGAGAACGCGTTTCGTGGACGCTTGCTTAGGAAATCCACTGGACACGTCGGAACCGCCCCCCAAAAAAAACAACATATTTTCTTCGAGCGCTCCCCACCTAAACCTTAAGCGTTTGTTCCCGACGGCGCGCAGTCGCCTAATTGGATGGAAGGCAACTGCCGTTTCTGGATTCGAAGAACGGTTCAGCCGTGTTCCATATAGTCATGCTCTTTCATGTTGTGCTCTATTGTGCCCTGTTATGTTCTCGACGGGCCGGCGTGACGTCGCGACGCCTGTGACGTTAGATGCGCCGTCTGTTATGATGTCCCTCTTGACTTGAATTCTGTTTATCTTATGACTGAATGTGGTTTGTTTTGCTCACCTCCGTCGCCTTATACTTTGATATGTTATAGGAGAATGTACTCTATGATATGGTATGCTATGTCAAGCTATGTTAAGATATGGTTTGTTCCGCGATGCTGTTGACAACCCAACTCATTATAGTATAACATGGAATTCACTG